AAAAATGTTGACTTTGAGGTGAGTTATAACTTTTTGAAAAATAGCTGACGAAACGGCCAGAACTTTCCTTACAACCTAATACCAGGTTGATATGAAGTCTTGAGAAACGAATTCAAATGTATCATCGTTTCTCTGTTAGAACCTTTACCTATCTTTGACCATCACCCATAGCACAATCACAGAGTTGTCACTGGTGACCCGTGATAAAAACATATGATTATGCTTCTTTTGCGAATCGTTTCACAGTAATGGGAAGGGGGGGGGGGTTGGAGCAAGTCTTGTGGTAGGAAATTAACACATTGAAGACCATGCAGTCCATATGTGAGCTGCACTTTTTCGGCCGCATGGGACCGTGCAGTCCACATGTAGACTGCAGTTGTATTTTTTGTTTTATTCATCTACATTTCCATTTTTTTACAATTTTTCTTCTCGAAACATTACATCAGGCCTTAATGAAACTAAATACAGCGGTGTCCTAGAAAACCTTCTAATTTTGCAACTGTGAAGGTCTTTTTCCGAAGGGGTACATAACTTACCTTGGTGAAATCTTCGTTCGTTGAACAACCTCGTAAAATGAATATTATTTCGAAAACACGGTCGTCTTTAGCATTTTCGCTGTTATCGACCAACTGCAAAGCTCGTAAAAGTTCCCCCAAACGATTTCTGGTAATAATTGAACCCATAATTGAATGACCACTAGAACGAACGCCGTTTTATAATAAAGATCAGTAATTACTCAATGTGGGTAATCTTACCAATCCCATTTGAAGGAACACTCCGAAAAACTTATAATTTCTCTTATAAACTTCAAAAAATGGTCACTCTGGATCATGAAGTCCACATGTGGGCTGCAGTCGCGAAAGGACGAGGAGCGCGCTGGTCCCTCGTGGCGCTTTTCCGCAAAACGTCATGGTCGTCAATGGGGTAAAAAAGGAAAAACAGGAAAGCAGGAAAAAATAACGGATAATAATGGAATAGCAGAGAAACATCGCTTCATTACTTGGCGATCAGCTGAGCTGAGCTGAGCTGTGTGGGTTCTAGAGCGAGTATTGCAATTTGTATCGCCTCGACACTCGTCTGACGTGACATCGGTCTAGGGGCGGGCTCCCACTACGCCACCATTGAGTTTTGGGACTCGACAGCGTCCTTTCTGTTACCCTTGGGGGCCAATGTGTATTCCTAGGGAGAGAACTCAGAAACCATTTCTATCGTGGAATTTGCCTTTAAGGAGGCAACCCTAGTTCTCTTTTGCTCAATCTCACATTTTCTATATTAGAATACTATTATGCAAAAAAAAGTGATTCAATAAAAATAAGCTAATCCATACAGATTTATGAACGGTCTGTTCATACATAGAACATAACCAGGCTGAATCATATATAAAAAAACTAACTGTTCTTCTACATGCAGCAATGCACTTAAGCTCAGAAGACTTATCTGGTTCAAAAAAAAATAACTACTCTTAAGACTCGAACATTAACTCATTGACGACCATGGCATTTTGCGGGAAAAGCGCCGCGAGGGACCGGCGCGCTTTTCGTCCACTCGCGACTGCAGCCCACATGTGGACTTCATGGTCTATAATGACCATTTCTTGAAGATTATAAGAGAAATTATTAGTTTTTCGGAATGCTCCAAATAGGATTGGTGAGAATGCCCACATTGAGTGATTATTGTTCATTATTATAGAAACGGCCTTTGTTCTAGTGTTCATTCAATTATGAGCCCAATCATCACCAGAAATCGTTTCGGGGAACTGCTAAGAGCTTTGCATTTGGTCGATAACAGCGAAAATGCTAATGACGATCGTATTTTTGAAATAATATCTCATTTTTCGAGGTTGTTCAACGAACGAAGGGTTCACCAAGGTAACGTACCCCTTCGAAAAAACACCTTTACAATTGTAAAATTAGAAGATGTTCTAGGATCACGCTGCATGTAGTTTCATTAGGCCTGATGTAATGTTTTGAGAAGGAAAATTGTAAAGAAATTATGAAAATATAGATGAATAATACAAAAAATAAAACTGCAGTCCACATGTGGACTGCATGGTCTCATGTGGCCGAACAAGTGCCGTCCACATATGAACTGCATGGTCGTCAATGGGTTAATATAATCAGTTGCAAAAGAAGAACCAAACTATATAGTAAAACTGATGACTTTTACTTTGATGTCATCGATTTTCCTCATGGTAAAACAATTATCATTATAATACCAATAGAGCCTCTGTTATATACACACCAGTCGGGCCGCCCGGCTAACGCCGGGCTTCCCTCCTTCTTATGGGTTCGCCCGGCTACGCCGGGCGCTCCTCCTTCCTGTGAGAAATTTGCTATGCGTGAATAACACTTCGGATTCTCCTTTTTCTTTGAAAGCTCTACACCCTCAGTATCAGCTCCGATCAGGAGCGATTTTTTCTGTAAGCCATCTTCGCTGTGTCCGAATAGAACATCGCATAACATCACAAATGCGATTACTCAGAGAAAAAAATATTCAGATACTTCATCGTGGCTGAGTCTACTATGTTAGTTACCATCAATGTTCCCAGCCGACTCCTTGCGTCCTCGAGTTTCAACGGTCTGGGTCCGAATCAATAGTATTTATTCACGCCCAGCCCTTTAAGGCGGAGTTTAGCCTTGCAACCTTCCATCGATGTTCCTATCCTGCCTCCTGTATTCTTTCAAGTTTGGTCGCTCTAGGTCCATTTTGACATTTCTCTGNGCATACCACCATTAGTGTTCCCATCCTGCCTTCTGTACCTCTACCAAGTTTGAGCGCTTTAGGTCCAGTGGGACAGGAGTTATGAGTTTCCGCTCCAACATTTATTTCGCCGAAACCCCGCCCACTGTGGGCGGAGTCTGATCTTGCCACCAACCATGAGTGTTCCCATCCTGCCGCCTGCACCCCTACCAAATTTGAACGCTATATGTCCAAGTTTAAGTTTTTCACACAAACCCCGCCCCTTGTGGGCGGAGTCCGGTCCTGCCACCAACCATGAGTGCTCTTATTCTGTCTCCTGTGCTCATGCCAAATTTGAACTTAATTGGTCCACGAGGACTGCAGTTATCATTTTCCGCACAAACCCCGCCCCTTGTGGGTGGAGTCCGGCCCCGCCGCCCACCGTAAGTGTTCCTAACCTACCCCCTGTACTCCTACCAAATTTGAGCGCTTCAGGTCCACTGGGACAGAGGTTATAACTTTACGCTCAAACATTTATTTCGCACAAACCCCGCCCCCTGTGGGCGGAGTCCGGCCCCGCCGCCCACCATGAGTGTTCCTATCCTGCCCCCTGTACTCCTACCAAATTTGAACTCTCTAGGTCTAATGGAACCCGAGTTATGAATTTCCGGTCAAACACATACACACACAGACAAACCAACAGACACACTTAGCGCGTTATATATGGTAGGCTAACCACTGAAAATTGCAAGTCCTTGTTCTAGGATCGAAACATAGATAAGGGAAATAGTGGGTATTCTCTCAAAAAATGAATGTAAAGAGGAATTTATAGTGAGTGAGTTGTATGCACATATAGATACATAGAAACAAATTCATTTGCTTGTGAAAATTTTCAGGATAAAGTATAAAGTTTTTGGTGGTAATCAATCCCGTCTGAGGGATGCGCCCCCGCACTCGACTTCAATTGAGAATCGTAATGGCATATGGAGTGCGTATGTGGCCTATACAATGACTTGCGGTGGCCAGCCGACGTACAAGTCAGCGCTTTTATCCTCCCAGACGAGTCTGGTACCAATTAACCGACCCCTGAGCGATGGAAAGCTTGGTTGGCCTAGGAAGATATCGATCTAATTTGAGCCCGTGACCGTGCCTGTGTGAAGTGCGCCACTTGCCACTACACCACCTCCGCCCTATCCTTTAACTTGTGAAAATTTTCAATAATAAACATTATCAATAGTACAAGGTGCGCCATAAAAATGGCTTGACGAAAATCCACAATTCCTTGTTTGGCGAGTGTTACTAAATTTACACCTTCTCTTACGTTTATCCTACACCTCAGCTCACATATCTGCTTTGGTGCTCTCAATTCGTCACTTTCGAGAGAAGACAAAACGTTGCAATTATCCAACAGCTTTTTCTTTTGTGCGCATTTGGTGAGTCCTCTCCCTCGAATGACAGCCTCTTGTATCGCGATGCGTGGACGGGTCAACGACAGACTTCAAGGCGGTCATGTTGTCTATGACCCTTTTTCCAAGTACAATTGCTTGGAAGTGGTTACGTTTAGGCGTTTAGGACATGTTCGCAATTTCATCCATACTTCCGATAGGCCTACGAATTTTCCGACACGCAATCCTATGGGTCCGTGGGTATGGTTTATACTGGGGAGGAAAGCCTGCGTTTCAGAACACCCACTATTGCTGCTTCTGAAAAATCGTTGAGAATAGCCCGAACTGGAGTTTCTCAACAAATTCGCCGTCGATGAGTGGCCGAAGCACTACAAGCTTTAGGAAACGATTATAACAGATGACCGTACCTTCATTCTTCGATGCGATGCTTAGTAAACAGTTCACATAGAATCACCATGAATCAATTTTCCTGCACAGCAATTATTTTGTGACCGTATTCCCAGCGCACCTTGTATATTTAATTTTTCATTTTTGCACTTTTAACCATATTGAATGATGCCTTTTCCTATTTCTTTGTCCGCCAGCTCTAAACCACCAAAGAGCCTCAGAGTAGGGTGGAAATAGTGGTTCGTTCAGTGGAGAGGATATAGGACATCTTTAGCTTCGATTTGATTATTTGTTACCTCTTTGCGTTTGATACAAGCAAGTTTAGGAAGCTCCACTAATTTCAACTTATCAGACTTTGCTTATTGTGGTCAGCATTCCAGAATCTATCGCTTTACTCGAGCGCCTAATCAGAGCTTCCAGTGAAACTTTAAAATCTTCTCAAGCAAGAACTTAGAGTTCTAATATGTGGCGTTTTTTCCAAAGGGCAGGCTTGCTTAAATTCTTTTCGTGAGGCTATTCACTCCCATCATGAAAATTTGGCAAGAAGCAGCGCTACTGCATGAATCAGGGCATCTATTCCTCAAGAAAAACTCACTAGTCCAGGTTCGTGTCAGCCGAGCATTTATCGTACTGAGCTGAGTGGTCGAAAACCTTGGTAGTTAGCTGGCCGAAGCCTGGTATGGGCCAAACACACCACGCGCTACGATTTTTATTGGAAACTGAGTTGGTGGTTGATCAACGCCCGAGTCCTTCCATTTCACCTCCTATTTTTAGGTTCTCAATCATGCTCGTGACCATAGTATTCGAGAGTCATTGGATTTTGTGAAGACATGGAATATGAGTCAGTTGCAGTCAGTAGATTTGCGTGATGGTGCGATGGCTGCAATGAGTAAGCAAAAGGCGGTATTTGAAAATGTGTAGGTTTCGGTGCTGTGTGCTATTTTTCGTGCTCCATCAATGTGAAATGGACTTGTTGTGATCGATATGTAGCCTAAGTGGCTCCTGAAATTGTCAACCCTCCGTACAAGTAGAAGGCATTCGGAGAAAACTCAAGAGTCCACCAATCTCGTAACGCCTTATGATAATACCTCTTCAATTTCTTTACGTTGCTTTTAGGTATTGTTTCATTTTTAATAATTTTTCTAAGGCTGTCCATCAAACCTCCTTTTTTTTCATTTTCACTGCGGAATCTGTATTATCGTTACATGATAGCGTCGTACGATTTTTCATGTAAGAAAGCTAGAGACAGTATTTAGGTTACCATTCCGTACTGTTGAAACACCGTAAGGCTCGTTTTCAGTTCAGACAGCATGAACTTCGACACTAACCAAGGAAGTCCTCCAACTAATAAAATTCATTGTTAAAGCGGTCTGTTGAACGATGCCTGCAGGTTGGTAGGAAAGTTTCGTGTTTCCTGAATTGTACGACAAAACAGTGTAGGTTGAAAGGTGTAATCTTGGTAACCCAAACACTCTTGACTGTTCTGTCCTATATAGCTACCAATTCAAGTGCTTTCCATTGATGGCAACGACGTCTCTGCTGTAGCTCTCATCATTAAAACTTTAATGTGAACAACCAGGGAAGTGTTGACCCGCATCTTTCTAGCACTCTTTCTCAATGCTTCTCTTATTCACCGAGTAGAATTCTGCAGACACTACCCTTAGCATGTGAATATTTTACATATGCGTTTCTATTAGGCTCTTATCGAGAAACTTCCCAAGTATCTTTCTCCCCTGATGGTTTTCTCTCCCTAGAGTCGATAATCTCAGCGGATGGGAATGTAATAAGCAGAAAAAGCTCGTGCTTATAATGTGCCCAACTTTGTCTATTGGTAGTACGCAATTTCAGCAGTTCTCCCTTTTGCGATGGTATAGGAAGCTACCTTATGGACAGTTCTATAACGAAACAGGTCACACCATTTTTGATCGATTTGTTCGAAAATTTTGCCTCAATGACGTCACTGTTGTTTCAGCTAGTTAGTAAGCTTCCGTGAAGTCACGCGAACTGCCGTAACTTTAGAACAACGGCCGAACTTGCGAAGCCATGGGGTGACATGATAACTGGAGATGAGAAATAGAGGAGCAGCAGTTACGGTCGAGACCGCCAACACTGACTAGAGCTTTTGTCTTCCTGCCGGTGTTCGCCAAGTACAACATCAAGATGACTCTTTTTTGACATTTTCATGGAACACTTACTGCATCTTCGAGGGCAATGGCAAAGGTCATCTAGACTCCTTTTCGGATTTCTTCGATACGTCTACTTGCTTACCTACCATATTGAGCAGAATAGCTGTATCCTTTTTTCGGTTCTCCTCTATGAATATCGTCATGCTGTAACGTAAGAAACTGTACGGCGCCTATTCCCGACGGAATTAAACACAATGCCGAAGGAGTCTCCCGCCAGCTATCTTTGAAACCCTGAAGCAGCTCTTTTCGCACCACCTATCTAGAAACAAGGTACCATCGCCTACTCAGCAGTGAATTGTGTTGCTGCATGAGAGAGAGGACAAAGCCGATCTGGAATGTATTGCCCAGTCTGCCCGTCTGCAATCTTTGAATTCTTTGCACGAGTCATCCTTAACAGAGTCAGCAGAAAACTGTCAAAGGGGAACGATGCAAACTGGCAGAGTCCCGAAGGGGTGCAGTACAATTAGTCAAAGAGTCACGATGTTCTCAAAACTCATTGAGGTATCACTAGTCTACAGAATGTTGTTATGTCTTGCGTCATCTGTTTGGAGAGCTCGTTAATACCTCCAGGCGAAAGCGGTAATAAAAGCATTGTGCAACCATGTGTTCCTTCTTCGTACACAATGATACTTCGTGAGCTATACCACGACTTCACGATTAGTACTTTTGAGGAAGTCATATTCAACTTGAGTGAAGAATCCAGCAGGCTGGATATCATATCGTTACAGCTTTGCAGGCGGCATGTTCTGACTAGCGCTCTTAACACCAAATATTGAGTAGGGGGATCGAATGTTGGTGAAAACGGATACCGCTCGTGTTGTGATCGGCTTCGACCTCCCCACAAGTGAACCAAACGGAGGCGATGCTCATGTGGAACAAACTTCCTTCATGCTCCTTTCGCGCTAACAGTCTATTCAAATACATATTATGTATGCATGAGAAATGCGCGGTGGAGGCGCATTCAAGAACATCGAGAGAGTAGTGCAGAAGGCGAAGAGCAAGTGGCTTGTTCACTTTTTGCAGACTTGCTTCCACGCATATAGAAAATGCCTATATTTAGTGTCATACAAAGCGATGTCGAAATGCTTGAAGTTCACATACAGTTCACGATACACGGGAGCGCATTCGGAAATCGAATCTCCTAGATAAACGTCAGGAACGCCATTGCTTACGCTAAGGTATCGATGGTCAGGTGGGCTTAATAGGTCATGCTTTTTGTGATGACCGTTGGAGTGAAGCACGTATTGACTGGATCCCTCGAAACAAATGATACCAGGATGACCAGAATTCACGAAAAATTAAATAAGAAGAATGGTATGCCCTATATTCCTTGAGCTAGGAGGCCCGTGGAGAAAGCGGTTGTGATCTTATATTTGCGACATGAATTATTTCGTAGCTTTGCTTGGTTGCCTGTGGTGACTTCGCTTACGTTGTAGCCTCCCGACCTTTTTGCCGGAGTCAGCTGAACCAAAATCGAATGTGTGGACTGGAGAATTCTTTACATTTCAACAGAACATGTGCATTCGACTCCCATCCAGAATCTAGGGGCATATTGAATGCGTATGTGGCCTATACAATAACTTCGAAGGCCGGTCGATGTAGAAGCCATTGTTTTTGTCCTCTCACCAGGAAAGGATTTCAACTTCTCGTGGAACTTTGAATAGAGACCTAGGTGTGAGGTATCAATGTGAAAAAAAAAGTTCAAAAAGAACTAGCTTTTGATTCATGGGTCGAAGAGTGTTCCGAACAATGACATCGTATGAAAAAATATGTAAAAGAGAAGTAGTAACTGGTGTACATTTTCAAATAATCTTCACCGATTCGCCAAGTGTTGAACTCCAAGGGAGATGACGCGTAAAATGAAACTCGAAAAATAAAGCCGAAACAGTTTTGTCTTTTCTATTTACCACGACTACCACGGGAGACAAACCAACTTATCAAGTTCGATACCTTCTGACAATGCTTCGGTCGTGCCGCCTGCACCTATACCAAAACAAGAGTTATCGGTTTCCGAACAAACATGCACACTCGATACACATACGCACGCAAATACAGATTATATACAATATATAAAGTAGGACACACAAGAGCAGCTTCTCTGCGTAGTGTCATCTGGGTAATGAGACAGAAACCTTAGGTGCACTGTAGGATTGTCTAACACCATTCCGACATTCCTGATGTAATTCGTTGTGATTCAAGTGAAAGCCTCTTTATATACCCATATGCTGATAATGCTGATCGAAGCGAAGTCATCATGCGAGAAAGACAAATGCGCTCATGCGGAGGCTGTATATATAAGCCAGCTCAGCAGTTTTAGGGAATCAATTTTCTGAATTCACCTCCCGGTCAGCACACGTACATAATAGTTTGTCCGATTAAGGAACTTTCCCTTCCAGAACCTTTTCCCGTTGTCTACATCCTTTCATGTCTTCTTAGGATGTACCCGCCATTTCATGTTTCACAAAAGCCCTCATGTATAAAATTTTCCTCGCCGGCTTGCAGAATTGTGATCTGCTGATTTGTCCTTGCATATGTAGTTCATCACTGTTGAATGTTTCGATGTCTTACATTACTCAACTTGTTGCAGTTGCAAACCTTTTTATTATATTTCAACGAATTTTTCATTGACCCTTTTTGTGTATCTGGCATTTGAGAGAAGAAAATAAATTTTGTTTTTGAACTGTGTTAAGCTGCGCTGTTGTTCATGGACATTAAGAATTTCTTGACATTCTTCTTGTTTTTCTTCGTGTTTTACCCTAATTTAAGCATTGCTTCCACATTATCAGTTTTTTTTAGAGGGGCGATTTGCTTCACTGTCCGGTTGTATCTGCTCGATATCGTCAGAATGTTTAATACAGGGTAAGTAGTGCTCTTTTCCAGATTAGCTGATCATAATTCCGTTTATTTCCTCAAAAAAATGCGAATTCTAAAATTTCAGTAGTTTTCTCCTTGCGACCTGTGCGAGATTTATTCTTCCGGGGACGAGCACTGTTCTTACAATAATTAATGCCACCCACACGAAGCGACACTTGCACAGGAGTGGGCGGTGTCTCGAGCGAGACGTCTGAATTATGTGTCGTAACAGTCAAGACGGTGGGAAGAATTCAGCAAAAATGAGGGATAGATCAGGAAGTGATTGAGGAGAATTCACCGGTGATGGGCAGTGCGTTTTCGGAGTGGGCTGTACTTTCCACATAAGTTCATAACTCGATTAAACGAAGGCGTGGAGGCCAGGAAAAGCTAAAAGGAAAGAGCAAGGCCTTCTGGGTGCTGGGCATGCATGAACTTGGCGAACTTCCGTCCACAATGGGCTTCGTTCAAATGGAAGCTACTTTTTGAAGAAATATACAGTTCTGTTAAAAAATGTTACAAAAAGCGAAAAAAGTCGTTCGTGATAATATTAGGTTGATGCATAATTATTGCGGATTTTTTCGCGGCTTT